ACGGAGACTGGAACCTGTTGGCGCCGTCCAACAACACGATCGATCTCGTCAACTCTGACAACTCGTCTGCCATCTCCGCGGCTGAAATCTTCAATTACTTGCAGACGCTCAAAGATCGCGCCGACATGCAGCACCAAGTCATGATGTATCGCTACAAACGCACGTACCAGTGTGCGAGTGCAGGTCTGCAGACGTTGGCGAAGGACGCAGTGACGGAAGACGAGTACCATGTATTGGTGCAGTGGATGTACGACCACTGCGCGGCTGGAGCGACCGACGTGATCCCTAATGCAAACCCGTCGCCTCCACTCACCGACGACGTCCTCAAATCGGAGGATGTGGCTCCTCTGGTCGATGACACGGACGTGAAGCGTCAATTCATGACGAAGCTGGACTTTTACTATGAGATCAAGAACCACTACGCTCAGAAGAACGCCGATATTATGGGTCAAGCAGCAGTGGCGAATCTGAGAGCAGAGGAGACGGAGACTTTGGAGAAGAAGCTGGTGGACTGCATCGAAGAGGCTGCTGAGCGCTACGGATACAACAAGGACGGCAAAGCGGACGATTCAGCGGATCACTTGAAGGAAGCCATCACTTGGGTTGACGCCACATGCATGGCCTCGTAGTTCATGAGGTATCGGGACGACTAATGTGTGCAGGTTAGGAACTTGCCTTTAGTTGCGTGTTTTCATTTGATTTCGTTGTCATTAAACAACGTCAGTCCCTTTCAATCATTCTCAAAAGTGATGGCGTCTCCATATAATCGAAAATGCTGCGTCTGCAGTGTTTGGTGAGCTTGGAAGAAGACGTTCGTGTTGTGTCTATCGAGGTATCATCGGACGAACGTCTTGATGAGCTGCAAGCTCGACTTGAAGAGGAGTTAAATGCGATAGAGTTCCAAGCGAAGCCAGGTTCTGTCATGAAACTCTACTGTGTGCAACATCAGCGTCTCACGTACCGTCAAGATCCAATGACCAAGCTCGAAGTATTATTCCTCGATGGTGGCAAGATATGTGGAGCTGATGCATGTAGCGGTGCAGTACTGCAGAGTGCACAGCAGCTCGTACCCTGGGCGCTAGTCTCGTGGTATTTCCAAGACCTGCAGTTCACGTTCCCTGACGCTATCGACGTCGTTGTCGTCTGGGTAAACGAAGATGAGATTGTATGAGGATATTCCAGCGTCGTAGGCGGTCAAAAGTTCGCGTGAACACCCTCTAGCTTCATAAATTTCTCACACAATATCAAACGATATTGAACATCCCTTCACTTCATTCTCCTTACTACACCGAGTCTCCTGAGGGGAAAAGCGGGTTATACTGCTGACCAGGATATTGGTAGTAGTTGTACGCTTGTTGTTGTGGTTGACTGGGGTTACTGCCATAAGGAGGGGGTGGAGCAGACGTCGAGACGTTCCCGTACGAAGGGGGCGGAGGTCCTTGTGTTTGCTGGTATTGTGCGTACGGATGCTGTTGCTGTTGCTGTTGAGTCTGCAACCGCGCATAGTCGTATGAAGGCGGCGCGGACTGCTGTGAACTAGACGAGTGATAGTACTGTGGGGTGCTGCCAGCTAGCCGGCGAGCCAAAGCTTCATCGCTAGCATTTGGGCCAGCTGCAGCATCCCGGAGTTGCATGTCGTTCATCATCTTCTGTGCCAGAGCAGCGTCCTCCACCTCGCGTTGCCTCATTTCGTCGTCAGCGGTCAAGTTCATCTCCAACTCTCGCTTTTCGAGCTCGCGTGCAGAGCAGTGGTCTGCTACAGTTTGGTGAAGCTGTGCGATCCGAACACTGAGCTCACCGTAGAACTTCGCTCCTTCTTTTACGTGCGATTCCAGTTGCTCGAAGACGTCAACGGCATCGCTGAGATGCTGGAGGAACGCTTGACGCTCGCGTAGCACATGGTCCGTCTCCTTCTTCGCCTCAAAGCGAGAGTTCGCCTGCACCAGATCATCCAGCAGAGTCTGTTCTTCTTCGCAGATTGCGGCGATCTTCCCTTCAAAATGATCACGGAAAAACTGCTTTTCAGTCTCAAGTGCAGCGTCGGTGGACACTCCATTCGCCTTATTCCCACTCAGCAGTACAGGGAGCGCGTTGAACTTGTCGTACGACCCCCTAAAGTCACGCAGCACCTGGTCCTTTTCCTCCACAAGCTGTCCGAGTCGTAGCAATAGAGAAGACACTTGGGCAATCTCTTCCTTGCAGCTGGAGTTGTCCTGCAGCAGTGCTGGCAGCTCTTGGTCCAGACTCGACTTGGACCGTGATAGAGCCTCCAAGCTCTCCTGGTTAGCAGTCATCTTCTCCCGAACAATCCCGTCAGACGTCTTAGCCTCCTTCACTAGACGGTAATAGCGGTCGATATCTGCTCGGAAGTTCTGATTAAGTGAAGACGACACTGGCCGAGCCCACCGCTTTTCACCGTAATTCTGTCTGCACACGTTGTCCTCGACTTCCTCTTGACTTAAGCGCGACTCAATCGCGTGAAGGTTCTTCTCAGCATCATCCGACATCCTCTGGTTCTCTTGTAATTGCTGCTGGATAAACGCTGCCACAGGGTTTTCTTTCGAACCTCCAGGTCCCATAGCAGCCGAAGCAGTCGTCACTTTAACATACTGAATACGCTGCCAGATCGTACGTGGGATTCCGTTATCGCTGGTCTTCTCAAACGCTTCAATAGAGGCAGGAAGACCCAAACTGTGAAGCTTTCCCTTAGCAGCTTCGTTTGTCTTGGACACTTTCTCCTCTGTTTGTTCCAGAACGGTCTTGATCTCCTGTTTAACCCCGTCAGCACGCAGTAACAGGTCCTTAGGCACAAACTGCTCGAACAAATCCCCTCCTCCAAGCTCTTGCTGCAACTCCTCATTGGTAAACCCCAACGGCTTGACCATCGCAGCCTTCCCCACGGCTGGCAGCTCTGAAAACTTCGGTACTTTCTCCAGATACACACTAGCATTATCTTTCCTCGCAGCGTCGAGATGCTCACGCACTACGCGTTGCAACGCTTGTGCAGACTGCAGTAGCGACGTCGGTAGTTTATTCTGCGTTGCTACCTTGCATGCTTCTGTGCACTCTGCATCTGCTGCAACCAGCCGCGTGATCTCTTCTCCATATCCTGCTCCTCGGTCCAGTGCAGCAGCCTTGGACGCTGTTCCTTGCCAATACTGTGTGGCCGCACGCATGCAGTGCACTTGGAACTGCAGATGCACACTCCATGACCTGTCAATGGCCCCCGCTAGTGCTGACGAGCGACAGAATTCCAGCGCTGAGACGTAATAGTCCAGCGCCTGATGCACCAGTTTGGCCTTAATTGCGTCCTTCATCTGGTCTTTAATAGCTTTCTCGTAGAAACAGGCTTGAGCTTGAGCCAGCATCAAGTAGGTCAGCAGTCCCAGTCCTTCGGCGCTCATATCAGGCGTCCTAGCACCTAATGTTCGCTCCACAAGCTTGTCTTTAACCTCTTGGAAGGCCCCAGCGGCCCTCATGAAGTGATGGCAGGCGGTTTTAAGCCCCTCAGCCGTACTACGGTCCGTCTGGACGCCCAGTTGGCTCTCCAGCGCGCCCACATTGAACATGACGGCTGCCTTCTCGAAAGACACACCTGTTTGCGTGCTCTTCTTGCGCGGACAGAACGAGTCGTTCCACGTGAACTGGAGCTGCAGTGACGCTCGTCCAGCAGCGTCACCGTCGCATGGGAAACGCTGCGCCATTTTGTCCAGTTGCGCGTAATAGCGCAGCAGAACGTGACGGGAGATGGCTGAGGGCGTGCGCACTAGATCCACATCCTTCTTGAGCTGTCCAAATTGATCAAGTGCCGCCTGGTGCGATTCTGTCTGCTGTGTATCTCCATCGGACGCATACTCGCGGCGGAGGAAGTCGCCCAGCGAGCTGCGTAGCGAGGCCGCGGACGTGTCACTCAGCTTGAAGCCGATGCCTAGCATTTTCACCTATTTGGTGGATTTCCGAATGAAGCTGGATAATTGTAGAAAGCGATACCTTGAAGAATGTATGTCTGATGTGGGTACACTTGATTTAACGCACATTCTTCAATCCGATTTCTGACACGGCGATGATAAATTACCCCTCGTGCTAATGCCGCGACGAGTGTTGCGAAGGTCGTAACGTTGCTCCGCAGAGATAGCGACAGTGACACGAGGCTCCTAAGAACTACGGAAGGCGACAACGAGCTGGAAACACTAGATTATCACATAAGAAGAAGGATCTTCGTGGTCTTTCACCTCATTTCAGACAGCGAGATGATCTATTCGCCACGGGAGCTGGTCAAAGTCTGCGGGCGGTGAAGGTGGATTTTGTTTTTAGGCATTGGGAGGAGGGCTTGGGCCAGAATGAACGATCAGAAACCATTACCTGTATCTGTATCCTGTCATTGCCAAGACGGAAACAATGGAGCAACTGAGTAACTCTGGACAGCCCACAAACGCCTACGTTAACAGTTTTTGCTAGTGTAAAGAAAGCGATATCCAAGCGGTTGCAAGCTTTGAGGTGGGTGGTGTTGTCGCTACTGGAAAACGAAGCGCATGATTCGAGCTGGAATCGAACAAGCCTGACAAAGCGAACATGACTGGGCGCCAAGAGCTGGCCTTCGAGTATCGTTACTCTTGGTATCTTTATGAAAGAATGTGTGAACGCATTGATTATTTGGTGGCCGCTGGTTGAACACAACCTATTCTTACAGTCACTGTGGCGACTTAAGTTTTGGTGGGGGTCTACGCAACATCAATTACAGAGTTGTTGTGTTTCCTGGAGGTGTCGAAGAGATTGGAAGTATGCTCGGAGAATTGTATGAAGTGCATGAGGCGAGCAACCGGCAGAAGGAAAATGGTGAGGGAGCTCTCCAATATGTTTCGTGCCATAGCGGTATTCTTCATTGGATGACAGCCTGTCATTGACAGGATTTAGTGGGGATCATGTGATGATGCAGCAATGGGTGATGTCTTGTCACAAGACTTGCACAAGTTGAAAACCATTTTGGATGAAAAGTGTGCCTTATGCTGTGGGCACATACCAATGTCAGCACGAACACTGTAATGCTCTTGCAGGAGATGGCGTTGCGTTCATAGTATAGCCTGGAAACTGAAATGGGACTAAAGACCGTAAACTTTAGTTATGGCAACTGCATCGAACCTCGTCGACCCCAACTGGTGACGATTGCAGTACGCGTGAATTATCCTTGAGTTTATGCAGTGGAGAACTTGGTATGTACGTGTGCTCTGGAGCATAGTACTCATGCGATCCTATCAGTGCAGGTTGGGCTTGGTTTGGTGGCGATAGTTGGTGGTGGTGGGTATGGTCTTAACTGAAGTTTGAGGTTAAGGTCGAAGTGTCCAAGTTGCTCACTTTGCGCGATCATCAAAGCGCAACATTCGCGCAACTCAAGTGATGTTCCGACGAAACGTAATCATCCTGTGGGGCACCGGATTTTTTTCCTCGTTGGAAGTCCGACCTATGGAAGGTTCTGCCCGCAGCCGCAACGTCTGCCGCCATCTCGATCGCTGGTCGGAGTCTGTACCTAATGTCGAAGTGATACTTCAGAATTATGCGGTGAGATTAGCCTACGGAAGCAAAAGCAGCTCTAAGCTAAGCTGCGTCCAGCATACCCAGCCGATGCCGGGTGGCGTTTTTCGCTTCTAGAAGGAGCGACGTGGTCTCACGTGGTCGAGGAGAAGAGTCGACCACGACAGACACACAATCTCGCGGGCTTGCCTCAGATTACTCCACTTCCCCGTCGAAGCGGTCGCCACAATCGTTCTGCTCGGCAGCACGGCCAGCTGGATACAGGCTGCCTCGCGAGTCTCGTGAACACGTTGGCCAAAGTTCTTGCGCAGTGGAGTCCCCATGCGTTCTCAGTTGTCTCCGCTCGGGAGGCACATTTTGGTGGGTGAAGCGACCCTCACGAAATCGGCTCAGCAATTCGTGCGGTGCTTCGCCGCGGTACCGCGTCAGATGCTGACCGCATTTCGTCGGGGAGCGCAATCATGCAGATGAATGACTGTCGTTCAGTTTTCAAGAGAAAGACCAAGCTTGCGCTCAGCTCGACATGTCACACTCGTGGTCATCAACTGAATCCGGTCGCTGGCCTGGAAGCGGAAAATGCTCATGCTCTTTCAAGTCCTGCTCAACTGTCCGGGAGTGATACTGGTAAATGCCTACGGCGTTGCTTTCGGCATTATGCACATGTTGCGACAGCAAGAAGACGTGAATACCGCAGGTGAGGGTTGTAGCTTCAGGAAAGTAGTCCCGATTCGGGACTCCTGAATTCGCAGCGAGCAGCGACGTAATCAGGCTTTTGCAAGAAATGAAGCGCTCGCCAAAAAACGGCACAACCGCAAACCGTCTTTCCTCAAGTTCGCCACATTTTGCTAAATATGGCAACTGGAAACGGCCTAACAGAGTCATCATTCGTCCATGACATCCACTCGTCCTAAGCTCACGAAGTGCTTGTAACATGGATGTGCCACAGCTGAAAAGTGCTCAGAACAGGTCGCTAGTGCCAATGGACACGATGACATGGTTTGACCGTCAAAGTTTGACGGCGTCAAATTGCCGCAAAGGGCTTAGAAATGAGCGTTCGGCACGGCTGAAAACGTGGCGTTTGAAGAGCTCTACCAGCGATGTTGCTGCCTGTTTTCGCAACACTGCCACAAAACCTACCGACCATCGGTGGGACAACGCGGGCAACTCCGATAGTCGCCAGTGTGGTGCCTGCCGTAAAATGACCAGCAAAAGATGAGTGAGGCGTCGAGCTAGCTTCGGTTCAAGGCAGCAATATGCGGAATGCGGCGCAGCACCCGATTCTCTGCGTGCCTCTCATTAACGCCAGCGCTATTAATAACAAGGTGGTGGTAGCTCCATTTGCAGACCGGTTCTCACATGTCAAGCCTGCGAGCGCTATCATGCCGCACGACAGGTGGTTGGCGCGCCGTCATACGGCCCTTCTTTTCGAGAGGAGCACGTAATCGAGGCTGTCACAATTGCCAGACAATGTGGTCCCATACAAACTCCAAGATACCTGTTTAAGAGACCGCAACGCTGGCGCAATCATTTTAGGATTGATTTCGCACAATCAGCGCTGCCAAACGTGCAAAGCGCCATTTCAGAATTTGCCTTCAGGGTGGCAAGTCGATCTCCAAGCATTAGTCGAAAGCAGCAATGACCACTTCCCAGGCATCCTTCGCCGGGCCAGTGACCGGCTCGCAGCCCTTCCTGGCGCCCGCGTTCGCAGCTCCGCGCAGCCAGCAGTCGCTGTCGGATTACCCGCCGCTTGCGCTGTTCGCCGCGGCCGAACAGGCCCAGCAACAGGAGCTCCAGCGCCAGGCGGCTGTGGCTCAAACCCAGTCACCAGTGCGGTCACCCTTCCAGCAGCAACCCGCTACGTCCCCGCTCAGCCTTAGCATCAACCCCAAGCTGCCGTCTCTCGAGGGTCTGCTCAAGCAGATGCAGACCACCTCACCCACAGCTTCCTCGGCACCGTCGCCGCAACACCCGCGGCTCAGCCCCATGTCGACATCGATGCCGTCGTTTCGACCCATGATCAGCCCCAACATGGCCAAGCGTGCGCTACCACAGGCCCCATTGCCCGGTGTGGCCTCGTTCGCACCTCAGCAGATGAGTTCATCTATGGGTCCGAGTTTCCCCGGCAAGAAGCGCTCGTGGGCCGACGCCACTCCGGTGCAGCAGGTGATGTACCCTGTCAAGTCCCGCTCGTCGCCCAGCAGCGGTCACACCACACACCGCAGCCGAGCTTCCAAGTACTGCAAAATCGAGGGTTGTGAGCGCGTCTCACAGCGTAACAACTTATGCCACAGCCACGGCGGCAAGCGTCTTTGCAAAGAGGAGGGTTGCTCGTCCAAGGACCGCGGCAACGGCTTTTGCATTAAGCACGGCGGTGGCAAGATCTGCTCCATGGGTGGCTGTGAAAAGAAGGCTCGTCGAAAAGGACTGTGCACGCAACACTTCCGCATCGCGGATGAGCACAACGCGGAGAACGTCGCAGCGTCTCCGTACATGGCCGAGCACAGTGCGTTCCGGTCTGTTTAAACGGAGGCGCGTGTGTCTTCCGTATCATTAGCCAAATAGGTCTAAGTATTAAGTTTCTCGTGTGAGATAGGTGCAGTGCTGGTAATCCCCGATCAAATAGAAAGAGGTTTACTCTATGAATTTTGTTTTCCGTTGCTTGTGTAGTAATGGTTTGTCTTGCTGTGATTTACATTTCTTCTACTGTGTACTCCATTACTCCATAGTGCAGCACGTTAGGGTAACTTAGACCTGCAAACAGCTCTGCGCTGCAACGTCTGCAGGCAAGAGAACTTGGGCGATAGTGTAGCCAATGACGGACGGATTTGTTGTCCGCACCGCGGCACGTCAGTCACTTTATTTTTTGCGTGGTTGGCTGAGCTCTGCTGAGTGAGTAGCTACAGCTCCGGAACGCAGGCGGGGAGGTGGTTCAGTGAAGCCGCTATAATACTCGGCCTCTGCTCACCAGATGCAAGCCGGCTGAACGCCCCACTGCTAGCCGATTGTTCAGCCAAACGAGGTGTGACAAGTGACTGCTATTACATGTAGCACCAAGCAGGATGCCAGTCCGTCCGCGATCATTCCCGTCCTGACCTCGGTTGAAGTGAATACGTCCTGTGTACGAACATGTGTGGCACATAATCGTGCTAAGTTGCGCGAGGCTACGTAATCACGTTTTCAAAAGTGCAACATAAGTATTCCTAGCAAGCTACTCGCCAAAAAGAAGATATTTTCAACAATTACAACCAATAGAATTATGATACTTGAATACATAACAGGTCCAGATCCTGAGAAAACACTGTCCGCGTGATCTTCGTCAACTTCAGCTCGATTATGGAGTCCTTTTAGCGGACAATCAAACTTGTAAGCAAGCATATTAGGTATCTTGGCGCGTCTTTAGCATATGTTGCTGTATAGCGTTTAGCTCGCTCAAGGGCAAGGAGTGTTTTAGCCTGCTACACTGGGTGCGGCTCGCCGGTAAATTGCGTTTCGGAAGGTCGGAGAAAAGATTCCCGTATCAAATCTAAGCACGTTGAACCTGGATTTGCATCAGCTCGGGGGCCAATCAGCGATTTTACCCAATTTACAACCAATCGATGGTCGTCCAAACAAATGTAGGGTGCGCGCGGCGCATAATCTGGACCGACCAAAAGGTAGCGTTTTACGATAAATCACTTCATTTTGCCTTATATATCCACAAATATGACAATTTTTAGTGATTTGTGCTGCTTGGAGTGGTCATCTGTTGATGCAAACAAAGGAAATGACGTCGGCCACCACTGCTCTGCTTCGAAGCGCCCAGTTTTTGAGTTTCGCCAATGCTCTCGCAGCTCAAACGCAGATTTACCCTCGGACGACGCAGTAAGATCCTCGGCGAAGAAGACGACCACTCGGCGACCACCATGAGCCTTTCGAACAGCAACAGTACCAGCTCCCTTCCCCCTGTGGACGAGCACCACGGCTGCGAGTACCTCGACACGGCGCTGACCATCTTCGTGATCGGTGCGTCGGGCGATCTTGCCAAGAAGAAAACGTACCCGTCGCTCTTCGCGCTCTACACCATGGGTTACCTGCCTGAACACGCGGTTATCGTGGGATACGCCCGCAGCGCCAAGAGCGAGGCCGACTTCCGCGAGCAGATCGCGCCCTGGATCAAACCCAAGACGCCCGAGGCCGAAGCTCGCAAGGCGGCCTTCCTCAACATGTGCATCTACCGCAGCGGCAACTACGACTCGGCTGAAGACGTGGGCAAGGTGAGCAAGGAGATGGAGGCACTGGAAGAGGCCCAGGGCTTCCCTGTGGCCAACCGTCTCTTCTACTTCGCCATCCCGCCCACGGTCTTTGTGCCCATCGGCACGAGCATCAAGAAGGCGGCACTGACCACGCGTGGCTGGAACCGTCTCATTGTCGAGAAGCCCTTTGGTCACGACCTCGACTCGTTCGACAAGCTGTCGCAGGACATGAGCGCGCTGTACTGCGAGGACGAGATCTACCGTATCGACCACTATCTTGGCAAGGAAATGGTCCAGAATCTGCTCGTGCTGCGCTTCGGCAACGCAATCTTCGAGCCTATCTGGAACCGCAACTACGTGTCAAGTGTGACCATCACTTTCAAGGAGGATATCGGTACTCAGGGCCGCGGTGGCTACTTCGACTCGTTCGGCATCATCCGTGACGTCATGCAGAACCACCTGCTACAAGTGCTCTCGCTTGTGGCCATGGAGCCGCCTGTGCAGGCTGCTGGCCACAACTACTCCAACTACATCCGCGACGAGAAGGTCAAGGTGCTGAACTGCATTGAGCCTATCAAGCTCGAGAACACGGTACTGGGCCAGTATGAGGGCAGCAAGGAACGCAACGAGCCGGGATACCTCGAGGACCCGACCGTACCCAAGGGCTCTGTGACCCCCACCTTCGCTACTGCTATTATGTATGTCAACAACCCGCGTTGGTCTGGTGTTCCGTTCATCATGAAGGCTGGCAAGGCTCTGAACGAGCGCAAGGGAGAGATCCGCGTGCAGTTCCGTCCGCCTCCTGGAGCGCAGCACTTGTTCCCGGGTGTCAAGATCCCTGTGCAGGAACTGGTGCTGCGTCTACAGCCTGAGGAGGCTGTGTACATGAAGATGAACGTCAAGAGCCCTGGTCTCCAGACCCAGGCGATCTCGAGCGAGCTGGACTTGTCGTACGCTGAGCGTTACGAGGGGGCAGAGGTGCCTGACGCCTACACTCGCCTGATCCTGGACGTACTGCGTGGCAAGCAGGCCGCATTCGTGCGTGATGACGAGCTCCGCGCTGCCTGGAAGATCTTCACGCCGCTGCTGAACGAGATTGAGACGCAGAAGGTGAAGCCGCTGCCGTACGCGTTCGGCTCGCGTGGTCCTAAGGAGAGCGACGAGTTGGTGAACAGAGCCGGCTTCCAGTACCACCATGGCGAGTACCAGTGGCAGCCGCGTGTACGCACCGCCAGTGCACTGTAGGCGTCTCTCTTCGTTTGAGCCTACGCGAGGCGAAATGCTTTGGCAGCCTCGCATAAGTATGATGGTGAGCCAGCTAGTCTTCAAAAGCGACGTTCGTTACGATGACAAGGCGGCAGTGGCGGTATCTCTCCTGGCTTTATTACGTGCTACGTAGTTGATTCCTCTCCATAAGCCAAAAACACGTTTCAAAATGTTATTGCTACCTCTTCTAGTGCGCTGGGGCAGGTCAAGTCATGTCAGGATCTTATGTCATGCCAATCAAGTTGTGAGTAGACATGGCTACACATCTGAAAATAGACCTGATTAATTTTAGTCCAAATTGATCACACCTATTTTTAAATGTTTAAACCTTGCAGTCAAACAAAATGACAGTTAGACGTCGCCCTGCCAATCGCAGAGGGCGCCGCTCCGCTGAGCACCTCAAGCTCTCCAGCCCGCACCTGCTCAGTCCGCGCTCTGGGTCCGATACTCCCTCATCGACTTCCAGTGTCGATATGCCGGGTTTCCCGTCCACCCCACGCGAGGAGACGTCGCAACAGTTACAGGACGTGATGAAAACAGAGGAAATTTCAAGCGACGAGGCCATGTCTGCCGCCGCTGCTGTCATCGAGTCTGTCATGCTGACACTAGAGACGGGGAACACCAGTGACACGTCCACCACGACATCGTGCTCCTCGGACGGAGAGACCACAGCCATGCTACAACACGCGCAACAGCTCCAACGCAAAAAGATGCAGTGTACCCAGGACGATAAGGAGGAGAATTCAAGCACACCACAGGAGCTACGTCGCAGTAGACGCAAACGACGCACAGTGGATGTGCTGAGTCCATCGCAGGACGTGTCATCGGGCCGCAAGTCTCCGCATAAGCGGCGAAATGTTGAGAAGAGCAAAGTGGCAGCGCTGGTGAGCGCTCGTCCCGCTGTAGCAGCGACAGCCGCTGCACGTGCCGAGGCTGCAATGAAGGAAACGAAACGGAGGCAAGCAGCGGCTAAGAAGCGTGCTGCTGCCAAAACTAAGGTCGAGACGCCCGAGGGGGTTTTGTCACCTGTTCAGGACGAGAAGAAGAAGACTCCCAAAACGAAGCGGAGCCGCAAAGCGCGACGGTCATTAGAGTCCGCGTACTCTTTCGACGCTCAGACGGAGTATGTATCGAAGCTCATTGCTGAGCTCTACGAAGAACAGGAGCAGGATGATCGAGAGATGTACAGCATCACCAGGGAGACGGTTCTTACGGAGACGAGCACGTGTACGCAATCCCAGGAGGTTAAAGAACTGAGCTTAGAGGAATTCCGACGGCTGATGACGTATGGTGAAGTATCAGTTGAGTCGGTGGCCTCCATAGTGCTGCCATTGTTCAATTTGGACGCGGACGACGTTTTCTTTGACCTCGGCTGTGGCACGGGGAAGATCCTGGTGCAAGCAGCGCTTCAAACTCCATGCAAGCGAGCAATAGGCATCGAGCTGATGCAAAATCGCGTTCTGGAAGGACACAAGGCGTTGAATCGGCTCAAAGAGCGCGACCTCGCCGTACTGCAAGGCAAGGAAATCGAGATCTTCCGAGGTGACATCTTCGTCCCTCCAGAGGAAGCTCGACTCATGGACGCGACTGTGGTTTTCATCAACAACGTGATGTTCGGTCCTCAACTTATGCTCAAGGTCTTGCAGCTTCTCAAGGAAATGCCCAAGCTGCGATGTGTGATGACGCTGCGCAAGATCTGCGAACGTCATGGTCACGAAAAGTGCTCGCGTGCTGGGAACTACTGCATCGAGTACGTGCAGCCTCCTGTCGAGCAAGAGATCGACGTGTCTTGGGCTGATAAAGCCTCCATCTATTTCTACGAAAGCCTCGACTTCAAGCTTAAACAACTCACTCAGGAGTTGGCCAAAGGTGGCCGCCGACCAATATGGTGAAGATGGAGTGAAGTTGCGTTTGGCAACACACAACTGTAGTCCAAGACTGCGTTAAGATACATGAGAGAACCGCATGAAGAGTCCCTTTTTACGCCAAGAAACGGGCTTGCATGCAATTTACATTAAAAATGAGTGGATTTTTGCTAAGAAAAAAAAAATAGAGTATGCACTTTTGCTATCTCGACTTCAGTTTGTTTATTTACTTCGTCGTGTTGCATAAGTTGCCTGTTGCATTCCAGGCCACTAGTGAACTGACTGAGTTCTAAATGAGCGTTGATCCCATGTACGGGTCTTGCGCGCTCTGTTCGAAAAAGATTGCCTCGTAAAAGTTGCGGAATGCCTCCATCTCACCCACACCCTGTGAGTATTTGGCTGCATAGCTATCTGGCCCCGAAGACAGCAAGAGCTTGTTCATCTCGGCCTGGAGACACGGGATTAGCTTTGCAAGAGGGGGTGCCGGCTTCTTCTTCGGTGGCTCTGCATTGTCTTCTACAACTTGCGGTTCAGGTTTACTCGGTCCGTAGACGACGTCATCAAGATCCTGGAAGGCGTTGCCACACAGGAAGCCCAAGCTGTGCTGCAACGCAGGCATGAAGAGATCGCTCTCCAGCAGGTCCCACAAGTCATTAAGGAGACTGATCACGTGTTCGTCCTGACCCTGTTGCTTGTCCGGATAGATCAAGAATTCCCGCCACTTGTGCAGCTCTGCCGAGTCTTCCTGCTTCTCCGCCGCAGCGACAGCAGCGGGAGATGGTAATACCGCCAAGAACAGCGCCTGTAGCAGCTCATTGAGCTCGTCGGCTGTGACTGCAGCCTTGCGACTGACTTTCCAGGCCTGCAACTGCTTGTTCTCCTTCACCACAGCTTCCACGTGGGCCTTAATTTTGCCCAACGCTTCATCTAAAAAGTATTCGAGCCCTGAGGTCAGGAAGGCGTGGTGTGCTTGCTCCTCGGCCTCTTCTCTCTGTTTCTGTCTGTCGGAAAGCTCCAAGCTCTTGCTCTTTTCAAAGACCCGTTTGCCAATGATGGAAACCTGCGCGAACACTAGCAAATGCCACAATCCGAAGGCTACGAGTGCTGTCAGGTAGCGTGTGAAGGCCAGCAGCTTGGCGTCCTCCCAGAGCGCATTGCGTTTACTCTTTTGCGTTTTGTCCAGTGTCTTAAGCTCCTGCACGACGCTCTCCAGGTCCAACAACTGATACAGTCGCGTCTTGAGCCTTGGAAGGAAACGACGCACCGTCGCGCGGCTCTCGTCCGCCGTGGATCCCAATGCCAGTTGTAGTCGCTGATGCTCAGCCATTTGCAACTGGATCTGTTGCGTGAAGCGCTCCGCCTCACTCATCATGCGTCTGTAGGCGTAATAAGCGCCTCCAGCACATGCTGCGCCTACGCCCGTCACGATCAATAGCTTCTTGTGTCGCCGCGCGAAGCCGCACGCCGCCTGCTTGGCATGTTGGAGTGCCGACCACATTGCGTCCGGTTAGACTAGATCTGAGTATGGTCACAGTTGTTGACGCTACGGCCGACAATCTTGGTTTTGATTGGCGAAAACAAAAGAATATCCACATTTTATCGGGATTTCCAGATTTTATCTTTTTACAAAATCAAAGATACTTTTGATGAAAATGGACGACCGATTCGATGCGATGTTGGCGCAAATGGCGCAGCAGCATGGCGGCGTGGAGCCGTTGCTGGAGTCGTTCTTCGGCTTTCTGCATCGCAAGACGGATTTTTACGTGGTTTCCAGCGACCCAGTGAGGCACAAAATGGGTTTCCTGCCGGACCAGGCGCAGCAAAAGGTGCTCAATGCCTTCCAGAAGTACCCGATGAAGAATCTGAGCGGCAGTGCCGAAGGAGCTGCGAAGACTACTACTACTACACGGACTACGCCTGCTACAAAGACTGAGAACACTCGAATTCGTGGTGCTCCTGCTGCTAAGAGGGAGCCTCAACTGACAGAAGACGGCAAGCAAGGTACACTTGGATTGGCTAAACAACTTGATAGTACGCTGATTAACTGTCATTGATAATGATGCAGTTCCGGTGGGTAATGGAGGAGTAGCTGCTAATTACACGTGGACGCAGACGCTGGAGGACGTTTCGGTAGGCATATTGAGCGTGTACTTAACGAAAAAATGCTTTAACTGACCGGTCACACGTTGGTTCTCGTAGATTCAGATGGAGCTTGCGCAAGCTACACGGGCAAAGGACTTAAACTGCAGAATCGAGGCGACAAAGTTGCGAGTGACACTCAAGAGCGATCCGACAAAGCCTCTGCTGGAAGGAGAATTACCCGAGAAAATCCGCGCTGATGAGAGTATTTGGTCATTGGAGAGTAATCAGACATTGAACATCTCTCTGGAGAAGATTAAACCGACTTGGTGGGCTAGTGCACTGAAAGGCGGACCGGAGATTGATACCAGCCAAGTCGATTCTCGAAGGAACATTCAAGACTACGACGAGGCTACGCAGGGAGCCATCCGAAAAGCTGTGTACGACCAGCGCCAGCAACAGGTAACCGGAGTTCCACTCACACCTGAAGAGCAAATGCTGCAGGAAGCCAAAGATCTGCCTGGCTCACCGTTTCTACCTTCAACACAAGATAAATAGCAGACTGAGAACCCTTTTTGCTCAATGCACACGCTTCATTTTCACTGCCATCGGCTCAGTTCCTAGATCTAGCAGTAGAGAAGCCCCAGAGATGATGATGAGTAAGTGAGAATAAAGTTACAAGATGCCCCAGTGACGCTCGAAGCCATTCAGCAGACGGCAGATGGCCTGGGCTCCGCTCATCGGGTACTCGGAGATCGAGATAGTCTCGTCCAGCTGCAGTATACAAGCACACATACATAAATGTTCATTGCACTCCTATTCAATAACTCGAAAGGCCAGGAAGCACGTACGTAGTTGCAGTTCTCCTTGGAGATGTGGCCGTGAGCCATGGCACCGAAGATGAACACGACCGGCTCGTCCTTAGGCAACGACTCCACCCACTCCCACGGGTTCACAAGCGTACCGGTACGCGAGAGTGCGTACTTCTTGCAGTTGGCCGGTAGGTACTTGGTCACGGGGTTCTTGATCACGTTCAGTAGTGTGTGGTTGCCGTCCGACGAGCGGATCTTTAGCGTGTGTAGCAATTGCACTGCAATAATGAACGATTGTTATTAACACCTCTGTATCAACTAGTATTGTATCAATTATCCACTGCAACGCACCCATGAGACCAGCGAAACGCTTGTACGTGCGGGGTACGCGCATCTGCGAGCTCACTTCGATGAGCACGCCCTTAGTGCTCTTGATGTACATCTGCAGCAATAGTAATATCGTCAGCTTGGATACTACATATTTTCTTTTGCTAAAGGTTACTACACACCTTGAGGTAGCCGGCCTTGTTGAGCGGCGAGTCGAGCAACGCCATGAGCTCCTGGTGCAGAATGTCGGGACGCGATTGGCTAGCATCGCGGTTAAGCTTCTTGTGGATGCCCTTGTGGTCGTCGCAATTGAGCAGCTGGTAGCCCTTGGACGTCTTGACCGTCTCCAGCGCTGCCTGCTCCAGGATCACGATCACCTGTCGCCGCTTCACGTCCTCTTTGCTCGCGCTCATGGTCAATTCAAATTCGCTTGTGCGTCAATGCCAAAAAGCACTGGTCGTCACAAATTCGGATCTATTTTCGGGGCTGTGGTAAATTCGGTGATGTGTGGACCACATATAACGTACATAGTGGAGACGATCTTGAAGCGACGTAATAAAATGGATTTTTGAATAAAAAGTACTTTGTATAGGAAAAAGTGTGCATTGGTTTCGAACCACTTTTGATCTTTTTTTTTTATTATTATGGTGGGCCACAAGCTATGAGCCAAAAACTTTTTTTCCAGGAAAAGTGCTCATAGCTAATGGCCCACCATAATAAAAATAGATCAAAAGTGGTTCGAAACCAATGCGTACTTTTTCCTATACAAAGTACTTTTCTTGCGTTCTTCAAACTGCGCAGCGAACATTGGCCCAAGCCTATTTTATTACGACCCAAAATTTGACCCCCCCCCTTTATTTGGGTTCCGAATAACCCAAATAAACCATCCCGGCCAATCAGATCTCTAGAAATATTTTTCCATCCCCATTTAAGTTGTGTTGGCTGTCAGCCGTTGGATAGCATTAAGTTGTATGGCGGCGCTAAGTTCGTTCGTAATGGCCACCATTCATAAAGAAAAGCCGGGGATGTGAAGGAGGAGATGGCTTTTATGGCTCGGTAGGCAGGTAGATAGCAAGGAGAGAAGAAGAAGTTTTAGTTGGAGACGTCAAAAGACGAAGTGAGCACTATATTAGTCTTAGAAAGCCCCTAGTAGCTGCACACCAGCCATTAGTGTTAGTTTAGTTTAAGCCAGTCATAACGCCTTAAACAGGACCTCCTAAATCTCATTATAATATCTTAGAGAGATTAGTTCAAAGTAATCATACTGTTTAGAGGGTATTTCAACAGCCTCCCTGCCTCTTAACATATTTTATCAAACTGACAATTCTATTTTATAACAGAGGTAAATTTTCTTTACAGGACATTTCCTCAGTCCTTGAAACGCCGCCAACGAAGTCGCTTAGGCAAGGTGATCCAACTTGGCCCTGCAGTTTTCTGCTAGGGAAGAAGGACGATAAGCGACACACCTGGTAGGAATTCAAGGATGGAGACCAACTTGCCGTCTGTACCTGCCACTACCACGAAGCAGCCCCCCCCCCCCTGTGCATGAAAAAGAGAAGGAAGAGAAACACAACTGCAAAGCGACTGCGCGCTCAAAAGAATGCACGAGCCGCTGCCACGCACACAGCGACGGTCGCATCGTGCACGACGACTTCTCAGGCCGTTCCAGAGGCGGAAGCAGTCTCTGAGACTGGGCGACCAGCTTCTGAAGCTGCGCCAGAAGGTTCAATAGCTACGATAGTATTGACAGACGCTGTTTCGGTGGGCACAGAGCCCTATCCAGTTACGAAGGACTCTTCTACGAGGGGGAAGAAGAAGCGGGTGCCACGAACAGCACTGCAGCTTGCGTCAGCTCTCAGCGCCGCGCTGGAGGAAGAGGAGGAGGCTTCTCGAGCCCATGTGTCCACCACACAGTCCAATGTCACTAAAGTGGGGGAATTAAAGGATTCTTCCATTTGTCGCACTGCAAACACAGATTTGACACATTCTGACACCGACTATGTGTCTAGCGACATAAACACTGATAGTGACAGCGACTGTGAGATGTACTGGCGCATTTACGGCAAGAATCACTGTAATGGACCCGCTGTGTGCCCACTACTTCGGCTTACACGTTAGCGCACGTGTACGAGAAAG